CCCCCCCCCCCCCCCCCCCCCCCCCCCCCCCCCCCCCCCCCCCAATGGTTCTCTGAAGCCAGGAGTTGGACAGTGGTGACCCTTGTGGGTCCCTTTCACAGCAGGACATTTAATTAAAGAATGCACAAGTACATAATCAGATGAGCTAAACTTGCCTGTTTTTATCTCAGTTTGAATTGCTATTTAATATCACACATATTCAGATCTACAGGTGTGGTTTGTTCTTCTCTGGTGATTGCTCAATACAGACTAGATTTTAGTGCAGGGCTGTAGTGAGAGTCCCAGGGCTTCTGGACTTGGCCCAACTGTATCTCCAATAAGTTAGAGATGAGTTCAAAAAGAAAGGCAAGAGTAGTTACAAGAGGAACCCACCACCTCAGCAGCAGAACTGACAATAAACAATGGTTATTTCTTCCCTGTTACAGGTTTTGCAGGATGTCCTAATTACCTTGACATTATTAGTGCGGAAGTTGTGCTCTATCCACCCACTAAGTACAGGAAACATGCCCAGTCTGTAATTCTATCCTTCACCTCACATGCCTCTGATGAGATGGAGTCGGAAAGGAAACTAAATAGCCTGGAAAGGTTAACCAGAGACAGAGAAATTAACCCTTTCATTTTCTCACACTGGAAAGTGGATTTGGTGGGTGGTGCCGTAGAGGGAAACTGTTTACTTCCAGAATCATAGAATCAAAAGGTCTAAGAGCTATCATAGACCTAGTCTTAGCCCATAGTATAACACAAGTCTTTCAGTCTGAAATCTGATATATTATTATTTATTTGTTTGTTTGTTTTCAAGTGAGCACAGCCTATTATGCCTGCCTATGTTCTTTACGTATACTCAGAAAGCACTTAACACTTTCTTAGTATAAACTGATTGTTAGTTAACTTCTTTGTGTTGTGTTATGGGCATGAATTGTGAAGGGCTATATAGATCTGGATGTCCTGTTTGAGCTTTGAAAAGGGAAGCAATGAGAAGATACTCATTCAGGCAACAGAGGCTTCAGACAGGTTGAGTCGTCTTGTATCTGTTTCAAACGCTGCTCTAATTTGTTTCTATAGGACAATGAGGATTAGCTGAAGGTAATCTCTTTACAATGGTTAAATCAGTATAGGTGAGTCTGTTAGTATCAGGATCGTGTAAGTGTAGAAATAATTGTTTAAGTCAGAGCAAAGGGACGGGCAGAAATACTGGAGAGTGGAGTGAAATATGCTTGTAGAAATGTTTATTTCCTGTTATAGCCATCCAGCAAGAGGTAATGACCGAATGCAAATAATCTTGCACCATCTTACTTGCACACCAAGTACGTGCACACGTGAGACCCTGCACAAAAGAATTGGCTGCATATCTATTAGCTGAGCTCAGCTTTTCACTGTTCACCCATCCTGTATCCTCTGTGAAGGAAGAGGCTGGTTTATAAACTTGCTGTATTTAACTATGCCATGTCTTTTTACAAGGCACTGCGGTGTTACAAATGTTTCCCTCTCCGAGGGGTCTGGAGGGGCAGGGGTGCTTTTTGTGCTCAGCTCTGAGGATTGCCGTAGGAGGGAACTGCAATGCAGAAGGTTGGCTTTTGTGCTCACTTGTTCTGTGTGTTTCCCATTCAGACATAAAAATCACTCTGCTTGAAATTGCCCATCTGGTCTTTGTGACTGAGGACAAAGCCATAAAAAATCAGGATAGGTTCTCCTTCCCTGCCTATTCAATACCATCAGCACTGAAGGCAGGATTGATTTGCTGTAGCAGGGTAGGAAGTCGGGGGAGGGGGGGAAGAATGTAAATTCCCCGAAATAGTGGAAGTCCTGAGAACTTCAGGCCTGAAAATGTGATAATTGAGTTACTTTGGGGTTGGAGCTTTTCTCAGCAGTGACTTCACAAAATTGGATGTACATGAAATGCTCACTTTGAAATCATGAGTTGCGGTGTTTGTGCTTTGTGGGTGGTTTCCTTCTTTATTGTTGTTTTGTTTTTGCTTTTTTTTTTTTTTTAAAGAATTTTTTTTCCCCATCCCACTTGATAAGACTCATGTTTGAAAATGCAAACTCGATAGGAACAAAAGTTAACATTTCTGAGCTTCCTGAATTGCCTCTGTGATGTTTCTGTATCTCTGCTGATATTGCAAGTAAAGATGCTGAGAAACTGGGAGGAAGAAGGGGCTATCATGGTTCTATCCTTTTTCTTTTACTTGACTCCAGCTTCTCACAATCTCAGCCCTCACTATTGTGTTTTGAGAAACTTGCAGACTAAGCACCTCCGGGTGATTCAGCTGACATTTCTGTTTTCAGAACTTCTTACTAAGAAAAGGAAGGGGGTGAGGGGAAAAAAAAAAAAAAAAAAAAAAAAGAATGCAGCTCTCTGGTGGCAAACCTTTTTCAAGGACAACAGACTAATTTTGTAACGCTTTATTTGCATTTTGAATCGATTGCTCCTGTCATCAGGTGACGGGCAGAGCTGGAAGAACAGGCTCCTTCCTGCCAGTTCCTTTTGCTAATTTGACAAAGGATCTTCTGGGCTCCAAGCATGTCCTGGAGAAGCGCAGGTCATGTTTATTTTCCTGCTCCTCCCTTCCAGCAAAATGGGAATTGTAGGAACAAGTGCCAAGAAGGCTGTGGGAGGAAGGGACAAGGACTTTGCATGGTGGCTTTTTGATGGCATGGTGTGAGTGCCCCAGGATGGTTCCCTGATTGACACCTCTGGGCTGCTGCAGGGTGATGTGATGCAAGAGCGGGGCTTGGAGAAGAAATACAGGAGGTTCTGGAGGCTGACAGTACTCTCGTGAACCTGGAGAGCAGGTGTAATGGGTTTCAGCCAGAGACTAGGGAAATATATGTCAAACCAGAAAGGCCAGTTAGGATCATGGAATCATTAAGGTTGGAAAAGACCGCTAAGATCATTTAGTGCAACTGTGAACCCATCACTACCATATCCACTAACCACGTCCCCAGGTGCCACAAGAAGCTGAAGAAGAGCACAGTACAACAAAACCCAGCTCACGTTATCTTTTGTTAAAGACCAGACTACGATTTCTCTCTTTGGAGCATATTCTTGTTCTCTGCTTTTGAGCCCTTTGCTGCAGGTGTTTGAGGTGCCAGATGTGAGCGTGATTGAGTGGGGATGTTTTAGTACAGACTGAATTAAATTCTCCACTTTCCTCCCATGAACATCTCTGAGACATTTGCAGCTTTGAAATGAATTGTTATTCGAGTTCCCTCTTTATTTCTCTGGAACTCAGCAAGGGAAGGAGACTCTTTATGCTGGGAAAAATAAAGCAAAATAAATGAACTTTCCAGTAAAGCCACAAAGTGTCAAATAGTTATTAGTCACCTCAGGGCCAGAGCAGCTGGTGGCTGTTTTGGGAATGCACAAGGGATTTTCTTTTCCACAACCTGCGGTGGTTCAGTCACCTCTTGCTCGGTGCAAGGCCAGAGCTAACTGCAGGCTCCTAACTTTCTCATGTTCATCAGTCCCTGCCTCCTCCCCATCCAGCTTCCCCTTTGTTGTCATTGCTTTCCCCCCTCGGTGTCCGTCCTATTCTTAGCTCTCATTTATCGATATTGTGCTGTTATTGGGTGACCCAGAAAGATGTGCGTTGTAGGACTGGTACCACGGCAGCTGCGGGGTATGCTTTCCTGTTTTATTGACCTCTTTTCCTTCTGTGCTGTGAAAGCATACAGAAATATCACCTTTTCATTCCCCAGAGCTTTCAATCTGTGATGTTGGCAGTGCAGAAAGATCGTTTTACACCCTTTTTTGACCAGTCTGTTTTCTCCGTCGTTAGGAGAGATCATGCTGGTTAAACAGTGATGGTGAAACCAGGAGTGGATTCTCACGTCTGTTTATGATGTCTGGAGTGTACTGAACTCTGAGCAGGCTGAGCTAGCCTCTGAGCAGAAAACCAGAAATAACAGTGCATTTGTGTGCATGGCTACCCTTAGGGTGGACTAATCCCATAGGGCTCAGAAGCATGGAGGAGAATTGGAAAGCCATGACTTAATCCTCACTGAGATTGAGATGTTTTTGAATAGTAGCACAGTTCTACCACCATTTCTCGTTCACTCACTGCTGAAGTTTGCTCTCATGGCTCACAAAACTTGGGTGAACAGCAGTGGTAGTTGTTTGGGTTTTTAAAAAATATTTCTCAGCAAGGTGTAGATCTTTCTTCCTTGTTGCTGTTAACTCCTGACTAAACCAAGTGGGCACTTGGACCCCTAAGTGACTCTTGCACACTTTCTGTAGACCTCTAAGACTCATAAAAACCCTGATTAACGTGACTCTTTCATGTACGGGTATTACACCTGTCTTATCTTCCCTCTTGCATCTGTCCCACCGAGACGTGTGGCTCTGCAGTCCCTTGGCCTCCTCCTTTTGCCCTGGAGTGGGCTTGGGTGGCAAGAAAGCTGTGTGGCACCTCGGAGCCATGCCCATGGGGATGGAAAGTTGCCATTCAGTCGTCATTTGGAGGGATGCATCTTACCCAACCAGCTGAATGTGCAGTTGGAATAGGTTAATGGACATGGGTAATTGACTTTGTTGTTTTTCTAAGTGCTGCTGATGGCATTCAAAACGACCCAAAGCAGGGTGAGGTGGGATGAATGGAGTGGGGATGGACAGGAACTGGAAGTATTTGTGGTTAATGTGATAAAACAAAGTGGAAAGCCTTTGAAGACTGGCTTTGGTAAAGTGGGGATGCTTGATGATTGCATTTATCTGTAGCTCTGTTGAGAGGGATTTAAGAATGTGTTCTTCCATTATGTTGAAGGCACATTTATCCACTTCAATTTGAGCGCCAAGAATGCCAGGACTTTTTCTCACTGTTCATTCGCTGATCTTCTCTGGAGAACAGAGACATGCAGAGAACTCTTCTGAACATCCCTGCTGCTTGGGGACATGACAACTCTCCTTATTTCAAAAACCCCTAACCTAGTGAGACACTAGCAAAGCCATCACGCTTCTGAGACCTTGTTGGTGTTATTTCTGGACACTGAGCCTTTCTTTTCTTGTGTTCACACAGGATTCTTTCCCAGCCACCTGGTTGCTACAGGGGAACTAGGGGAAACTGACAAAATGGGTGATTTTTATGTTATTTAATTTTCAGTTCTGTATTCATAGTGCAAAACAGAGACAAGTCCTACCTGCTCTCTACGGACAAGTGGGTAAGCTGGTCTGGACTGGGAGCACACCTTGGCCAGGTCAGAGGTTTCTCCTCTGTGTATTACAAGAACCACTGATTTCAGGTGGAGTCAGAACATGAGTTAACTGTGCAGTGGGGAAATATCCTCAGAGCAGCTCCTTGGGGTGCTGTCGTGAGTCTTCAGTTGTGGAAAAACAGGGCAATCAGACCTGAGTTTCTAGTGCTAAGGTTGGAATGGAAAGGTGTTGCAGCAAATATGTTTTTTTTTTTTATTTCATCAAAAAAGAAGTTACTTTTGAAGGTCACCTTTTAAGAATTCCTTAGTTGTTCTTGTCCATGTGGTAGGCAAGAAGCAATGCTGTTTTCTGTGAAAACAGTTCCACAGAAAGGGAGCGCTTTGTTTTCACATATAAACAAATATATTTATACAAATCTCTCTGCTGGAAAGTCTGATTATGCTGGGCCAAGCACACCATATATTACAGAGGTATTAATTGCCTGCTCGGTTTATGCAGTCACATGTTATACACACAGTTACCCCTAGCAGTCCAACAACGGCAGTGTTTTCCATCCCAAAGTGAGCATGATGCTGGAATACCACACTGGAGAGGAACGTGTGAGGAACAGGCCTGAGCTGTGTTAAACCAATGATTTAACATGACTTAAAAAGAAAAAAGCCACCCAGGAAAACCGGATGATGACATTTGCCACCATTCAATTAAAAAGTCATTCTTTCCTGTTTTCCAGTGAGCTCTGGGCTTTCCAAGCTCACTGCTCTGTGCTGGGATGACTGACTCATGAACCTGATAGGAAAATGCACCTGTTTTTAGCCAGAGGTTAAAGCAGTTCTTTTGGTTTCTAGAGTAAACAAAGGATTTATTTCTGTCCTTAACAGCTACCCTGCGAAGCCCAGGAGCACAGGAAAGCTGGCGGGAACAGAGAGCTTTGAGCAGAGTTTGCTGAAGTCAGGAGGGCTGTGAAGTCTGTGCTAAGATGATGGTAGGTGTCAGTGGGATCTGGTCCCTGCTTTTTACTGAAGGGAAAATGGGAAATAAATTTGGTGCAGTGATTGGGTTGGGTGCTGGGTGCTCCGAAGTACTGGAAGTAAGTGAGACACATTCTTCTCTTTGTCCTGAAGTTTTCCATATGCATCTTTGGCAAAAGAGCAACTGTTTGTCACAGAGAGTGATGGGCACAGAGGCATTTGAGGCTGCAAGGCTGATTTGAGACCATAATAAGAACAGCCCTGGAAGTGGCTAGAATATTTGGAAATGGGAGAGTTGGATGTATCATGGAAGTCAAGAGGTTCGGTTAACTGAGTCCTTTATTAATCCCAAAGTGAGAAATGGGATGGCTTGATCTCTGCACAGTACTGAAAAGTGCAAAGATGACATTGGATTATTTCAGGTCAGCACTCAGGATGGTATGGGAGCAAGATGGATTTTAGTTTTTATTTAACTGGATTTAATTACATGTGTGAACTTCAAAGTGCTGAAAGCCTAATAGTTGGTGACCTAAGGTCTAATTTAAAGAAACAACAGCAGCCTAAACCTTAAGCTTGTTTGTTAGACCATATGGCATGAGTGGATTGTGTGATATTTCAAGTAAGGATGTACAGAGCAAAGTACCCTATGCATCCAAAGCATTTACCAAGATTTCCAGCTTTGCTGAGAGGAATCTGAACACTGACCTTGCCTGCCCTCCATCCATGGTGCAGGAGCTCAGCTGGGACAGATAGGAGAGAGGCTTTCTACTCTGAGAAATCTGCAGTGCCCTTAGACCACGCTCATGCTTTTGGAAGAATAGGAACACTTGAATTTTCGGTGTGAAAGATGCATGTGACAAGGAAATTCTAAATCTGTTTAAGAAGAAGAGGAGATCTTCAAAGGCTTGTTATCCTAATTTAATTTTTGTTTTGATTAGTGTTAACACATTTTGATTAGTATTGTGAAAGCTATCTATTTGCATTGCAGGCTGTGCTTGCTTTCAGAGAACACTGTTCTTGGATAAAAGCTCTCCTTGTGGCTCCTAGTGAAGCTTGTTAGAGCTACCTTTAAAAACTAGAAATGGTCATAAAAATTTGCTTCTGGAACTAAGACCTGCTGCTGCATGGCTAAATGATACGATGCTTGTGGGAGGTGTTTGAAGGGGAAACAAAGTTTTTTAAATGATTTAATTATGGAATAAGCAGAAACGTTGAGAAAGGGGAATACAACTTTGGTATGCCCCTACTTGAAGTGATTGCAGCAGTTCTGTCTGTCACAGAATGTCCATGCTGTATTGATTCACAGCCTGGTCCAGCTCAGATGAGAATGGTTGATGTAACAAATCACACCCAGAATGTTTTGTATTTCCAGTGCCTGTTTGGTGATTGGCATCCACACTGAGCAGCTGCTCCAGGTGCTTCCACTTTGAAGATGATCAGTTCCAGACCCTTGCTTTCATCTTGGTCGCATATCCGATTGAAAGGACCTTGATGCAACAGTGTCTGTTTCACATTTAAAATAGAACTGCTTAAAAGCTGCTTAAATAATTTGTATTTGTATCCAAGAATCTCAAAGCTTTGGCCATATCAGTTAGTTTTTGAGGCAACCTCATGAGGTGCTCTCATTATCTTCATTTATATAGGACTTCAATGATGCACAAAGAGTGAATGTTTTGCTTTGTGTCAGTTTTGTATCAGGTAAAGAATACCAGCCCATGCCAACCTTCATGAGTCATCCCAGCAGGCTGACAGCATCCAGCTGCTTTGTGCCTGAAGCACAAAACCCATAAAAGGCTGTGGAGTGCAGCCCAGGCACAGCATGGTGAGGAAACCTTGCTGGTGCTGACACATGGAAGGAGACAAGGAAGGGAATAAGGAATAAGGAAAACGAAGAAAGCACAGTGGCCTCAGCCTGGTGCAGCTGATGGTGTAGTGCATAAGTGACCACTCCTCTTATAGAGTAATGCAGTGTGGAAGTTTCTCCAGGAACACCAACAGAAGGAGCTAATTCTCATCTCCTGTGATGGCCTTACCGCTTTTACATAATCTGCACACACACCCCTGCCATCTCTCCAGCAGCTTCCTGCTTGAAAAAAGCTCCTTGTTCAGTATTGTTGAACTAGCATGTTCTTAATTTCCTTGTGCTTTATTATAGTTTCATAGTTTCATTTTCCATCTTCCTTAACACCCCATTTTTTTGGGAGAATTTCTTTTTTCATCCTAGAAGTGTTGCATGCTTTAATCACATTAGCTTACCTTTTCCTTACACTGAGCCTGCTGTACAGCATCTTCAAGCAGCATTACATCATCTGTAAGTGCATTACTGCTTCTAGCTGCTCACTTCAATGAATTTCCTCACTTTCATGTGGTTCCCTTTTTTAAAGGTAAACATTGAATTTGACAGTCTTATGACAAGAAGAAATTTCTTCTTAGCTACATCTTACAACAGATCCTGGCTGCCAGATGGGATGAACTTGAGTATAATTTATCCTCTTCCTGTAGATTCTCTACCTCCACAAAAAAAGAGGCATTTCAGCTAAGGCATGAAAAATGAGTGGCTGTGTGTCACGTCTTCTGAAATGCATACGGATAGAGCAACACATCGGGGCTTGCTTATGTACTTAAGGGGCTTAATTGGGGTTTCTCTGTTTTCCACTCCTCTGCCCTTTTTCTATCTTTTTTTCTTAACAGAGATTTGAAAGTTTCGACCAAATGAAGCATTCTTCCAGTTTCTTCCTTCCCCGCAGCCTTTAGTTTAAAACTCTTCTGCAATTTTAACTCTGTAACAGCCAGCTTCTTTCTATGCCTGTGGCCCACACTACGTTCCTCTGTTCCCTCACTGTAGCACTGTGTGTCATGGATGCTCCAGAGCGGCGTGGCTCTTTCCCAGGAGATAAGTGAGGGCTTTTTGCCTATACAACAGCTCTGCTAAGCTTTCCCATGCTGGGAGGGAAGGAGGGAGGAGATCCGGTTTCCTCTCTGTCCGAGCGCCAGCCCTGTGGCACTGCTGGGAACATCCGAGGGCATTGTGCAATCTGCAGAGGTGGTTCTCCGTGTAGCCTAGCAAAGCAGCGTCTGATAATGGCTCTCTCTTTGTTTGTATCACACAATCAAGCTCACGATCTCTCCAGCCCACGGTGTTCTGTCCTGCGAGGCTGAGTGCAGAGCCCTGCAGTGCTGCAGTCAGTTGCTTGCCCTGAAAGCCATGTAGGCATAGAGCACTGGAGGCCCAGAAGTGCCTACAAACTGTGAGAACTCGGAGAGAGCAGCCCTGCAGAGAAGGGCTTGGGGGTCCTGGTGGACAGGAGGCTGGATATGAGCCAGCAGCATGCTCTTGCAGCTCTGAAGGCCAACAGTATCCTGAGCTGTCAACAGAGGGGTGGCAGCAGGGAGAGGGAGGGGGTTGTGATTGTCCCCCTCTGCTCTGCCCTTGTGAGGCCCGGAGAGCTGCGGATGCCACATCCCTGGAGGTGCTCAAGGAGAAGTTGGATGGGGCCCTGGGCAGCCGAGCTTGTGGGTGGCACCCAACCCATGGCAGGGGTTGTTAGTGGATGGGCTTTCGGGTCCCTTCCAACCCAAGCTGTTCTATGGCTGTAAAAGGGCAGGCATAAGCTGTCTTGGCTTCAGTTCAGTGGAAGTGCAAGTTGCATCTTTTTCAGGAGGCATGGGAAATGCTTCTGAAGCTTAAAGACAAGCTTATCAACTTTGACTTCTAAGCAATGCCAGATTTAATTTTCCAAAGGTCACGGAGGAGTTTTCTTCTGCCATCTCCAAAGGCTGTGACAAATGTTCCCCTAACAAAGTAACAAATTGTTCAACACAATGCACTTAGTAATTACCTTGCCATAAAGGTATTTATGGCAGGTATAGTAAGATAAACCAGTTTGCTTCCTATTGTTTTTCAAAGAAAAAAAAAAAAAACGCTGTACTCATTTTGTGGTGAGTTTGAGGGATAAATATAAACTGATGTCTTCATTGAATGCTTTCATGGCTCTTAAAAGATATTTATAGGCTATCCCTGTCAAAGATCAGGAAATGCACTCATTTCAGTATTTTTGTAAAATCGTTTGAGTTGGAAGGGACCATTAAAGGTCATTCAGTCCAATTCCCTGCAATGATCAGAGGCACCTCCAGCTCTGTGGGTCTGTATCTACAGGTACATGGGTATTCTGTGTATCTATTCTGGGTAGCTATTTAAATTTTATCCAAAAATTGACCTTGAAGTATTCTATTGTTGCAAAGTCAGTTAAAGTTGTCCATAATACATGAATTCAGTACCTTTTGTGAATGTTCATTCCTGTCTGGTCTGTATTTACAGGATCCTGCACTAATCTGCCTGGTATCACTGCCTCCTGTACAGTGCTTTCATAATGCAGACACAGAGCAGCTCCTGTGGTGGGCATGGGAGCCAACCATGCAAGAAATGAAAAGCAAAGACTGTACAGTATGTTACTGAATACAGATGCAGCACGGATGTTAGCAACACAAAACTAAATCAGTCTGGCAAGAGGAAAGCCAGCCCTGGACTTGCATCAGCGGCGCTGGTCTGTGGGTTCCAAGTGTGGCATCACTGCAGAGCCGGTTGGACGAGGCTCCCTGACCTCCTCTACTTGGCAGGCTTTCCTCTGCATTTTTGGCTGAGAGACAAACTGCCCTCCCCATCCCTCCAACTGGTCCCAGTACATCCCGGTGCAGGTGTGCTGGCGGGCAGGGTGAGGAGAGATTTCATCACTCCAGCATATCCAGTACATAGGTAAGGACAATCCACACAGTGTTTTTCACCAGTGTGACATAAAAATGAGGAGAATGGGGAGAAACAGCTGCAGTGATGCAAAGGCTGTCTGTAGCTATGGAATGGGCAGGTAAGAGCATCTTTTTTGTAGAACAGGCAGTGTAACAGCTCTGGAGCGTGGATCCCAGTAGAGCACCTATTTTGGGGGGCTGTGGGCTCAGACGTAGTCCCATTCCAGAGATAGCATATCCACAAAGGATTTCCAGCTCCTGTCTGAATATCCTGGTATGCCTGTGCGAGCAGATCCTTCCTCTGAACTGCCTTTGGCTTCACAGACCTCTGGTAAGAGCGAAGATCTTGGAGGTAAAACATCAAGAAATAGGTGCAAGGAGAGGGAATCTGTGGCTCTGCCACCAAGTTCTTTTGCCATCTTGTACAGAACATTTTTCGTATCTGTGCCTACGTTTCCAATCTGTAACGTAAAAATAGCAGTGCTTCATCTCAGCCACGCACTGTAGTCCTAAAATACAAAATCTTTCATAGAAAGCCTGCTGATTACCCAGTTAATGTAGAGTCTTGCCCCATAGGGCACTTTTCCTCCTATATCTGCTTCCTCCTTTGTATGGACTTTGCAGTGGTCATCTGTAAGGTAAACTGTGAAATCTTTGTGTTATGTATGTTTGTGTCCAGCCTTGAAACGTTATTTCATTCCCTGAGGTGTGTGCTGCTGTAAGGCAAATGAAATGTCCCAGTCCCCTGTTAATTACTCATTAGGTAAGATTTAATATGTGTGTATGTGGGGCTGGCAGCCAGAAGTGGATACACAGGGATGGTCTGTGAGCCAAGCTTCTACCAGCTTTAGGGCAGGGGTGGTTGAGTAACTAGGATGAAATGAATAAAATAAAATGGTAAGACCATTAGTTCTTTGCCCCAAACTTAACCCAACACCTTTCCTTTTCGTCACAAGACCAAACTTACAGTTCACATCAGAAGGCTGGGAGACCTGGGGTAGATTCACATACCTTCACAGAACAAATCACGGGTCTGGACTGAGCCAAAGCATCACTTGGGACCCAAGTCCAGATCTCACCTGTGACTGTTAGTTCTACCTGAACTTTGATATGGTATTGAAATTGGTATGGCCTCTGGAAAAGGTTTTAGGTTCTTCTGTTCATTACAGACATGTTGTTCCCTGTTTGGTACAAAGAGTGCTGTTTTTCTGTTAGAAGATTTCCTGGTTGAGTGAGGAGGGCAGCATTAGCCATACCAATTTTGACAGAGAGCATTTGGAAATCCAGGTTGATATAGGCACGTGGTAAGGAATGGCAAGCAAGTACATGAAGGACAATAGACCAAAGGAATCAAGTGAGTGGAAAGATATCTGGCAGCTAGTAATGGGGGGCTGATGAGGCACACGCCCCTCAAGGAAAACTCTGTTCCTTTGGGAGTCCATGCCTCTGCTTGCTGATACAATAACCCGACACTGGTGGGATAAGCTGGGCTTTGAAACTTATTTAAAATGGGTCTGATGCAAAAGAGCTGTGCTCAGGGCTTTTGGGGAGCACAACTTTCCCATAGGCTGTAGCATCAGGGGTGTAACAAAGGAGAAAAAAGCCAGTTATGCTACAGCTCTCTGGGCTCTGGAAATTGTGCCATTTTTGCTTTTCCTGCTTCCCACCATCTTCTACTCGCTCTGTCTCTGTTGTTCACCCACATAATTACATAAGATATCGCCAGCTAAAGCTGCATCTGCCTCCTTAATGGATGGCTCATTATCAAGGGAGGGAAACAGAAAGGGCAAAAGCTTTTGTGTGCCAACAGCACTGCAGAGATGTTCATGTGCATTACAGGAGAAGGAAAGGGTGTAACCTGTCTGTCCTAATTTATAGCCAGATGGGCTGAAAGAGTCAAGGTGTAACGAAGGTCAGTGTGGCTGGGAATGAGGTGGAAGCAGTGCAAAGTTTCTCTATTGATGTAAAAGCAATTAATTCTCCAACAAAGTCTCTGTCTCATTGGGCAGGACAGAGCAAGGCAGTTCTGTGTTTGAGTACTCCCACAGCTTTGATCTTTTTTTCTGGAAAACTAAGCTTGTAGAGGGTGTCTGGCCTTGTGTGGGGTGATGCATTGGGCCCTGTGGGGCTGGCCCTGTGGGGTGGCAGAGCCAGAGCCAGCCTGCTGCTCTACACGCCATGCTGCTCTGGAAAAGTCTCCTCATGTTCCAGTTACTGCAGTAATGCCAACACACTGCCACAGTGCCTGGGGCCTGCTCAGGAGTGCTGTGAGATCCCTCCTCCTCATGACAATTCCCATATTGTTTTGGCCACAGGAAAGGACTTGTAGCTACAAGGAAAAATGAAAAGGCAAATGAGAGAGAACAAGGTCTATTAGAAATCCATCTCCAAAGATCCCAAGGTATGACAAATACATAACCATTTTTGATTGAAAGCAAGTCTTTAGCCCTGAACACATATACCATTCCAATCAGTATATTGTGGCAACTGACTGCAGACGGGTTTTTCTTTTATTGATGCTTAAAGCAAACAGTTGTGATGAACTCAGCACAGAGCTGTGTTAATGTCAGGTGTCTGGATGGGTTTCAGAAAAGCTGATGGCAGATAGCAGGGTATGGTTTGATCAGGAGGTGGGTTTTGCGCTGCTGCCTGTGCTGGGCAGGAGACTGGAGGGTTGTGGGGGGCTCCACCAGCCATAACATCCATGATGATTGCAACTGTAGCTTCATTTCGTCTCTCTGTCTAAGTAACCTCCTCCTTGTTTTATTTTCTTTATTTCCTCTGCGCTTCCCAAGCAGAAAATCTAAGATTCCAAGTTGCATTTTGAGAAAGCTTTAAAATGGACTTCTTCATTAGGTGAGATGACCCTGAGCATTGGTAACAAAATCTGCGGGAGGCAGGGGAGAGGGAAAGAGGAGACTGCTCAGTAGGGGGTGAGTGCTGATGACTCTAATGAAGTCACAGTATATACTCTCTTCTGCTGACTTGTGCCTCCTCTAATTACTTTCTGAATCCTAAGAAGCTGAACTATGCCTTGCCCGTTCATTATGTCCCCCACATTCACTCTCCCCAACAAGCAGTGCACTCCCCACAGTCCCTGGAGGCCTTTTGCTGCTGCTCTGGTGCACCAGGCATGTTTGCTCTGCGTGTTGATGTTTGTGTTTTCTGCGCTGCTGGTGTTTTCCAATTCCTTGGAGCAGTGAGGATGCTGCTGACTTGTCAGAATTGCTGCAGGATGCTGACTCGAGGTTACTGCCTATGGCCTCGTTACATTAACAAGGGATATTTTGAGAAATACAAAAGATTAGGTGTTTATTTTCTATGGGAGAGGGAGAGGAGAGAGAATGAATGTGTGCGAATGAATGGACTTCCCCCGCAGGTTTTATTACATCCCTCCACTGCTCAGTTAGAAATTACTGCCCAGCTCTCTCCCTGCTGTTTGCTAGATGGCCTCTGGTTTGCATTCAGGCAATGCAGCCCTTCTTGAAGAGCTCCTTATTCCTATCCTGGGGCATCTGGGTTCCTGAAGTGGGCACAGCCTTTACAGAGCTGGCAATGGGATTTGCAGCTTAGCATCATCTTAAGGCAGATGTAAGTTAGGTCTGCTCTGGTCTTGTTCCTTCCTTGAAGCCAACATTAGCACTGATGTGAGGGAAAGTGAGTCAGTTTGGAAAAATGAGTTGTCAAATAAGTAATGCTGCGAGGAAAAAAAAGAAAGTAATTATTTCCTTACATGCTTGCCTTCCAAAAGTAGCATTGCCAACTGGAGGGATGTGTGGCCATGGCTAAGGAGAGGGTGGACTCCCTCTTCCCTGCTCAGATGGGCTCTCACCCTCGAGGGAGAATATCAAAGGGGAGGATATAGCCTACAAATTCTCTATCTTAAAGAAAGGGGACCTTTGCACAGCCCACACCTCTGAATCAAAGGGAACATCTTCGTTCCCTTCCTCCCTGTTGTCAGGCTATTGGGAAGTAGTTGACACAGTCCTTATCAAAGGAAGTGTGGTCTTTTCCTCTGCTTGTCTACTCAGTGTTATTATGTCAACAGAGATCAATAAGGCGACACAAATCCTATCCTATTACAAGTATTCAGCAGCAAATGAAGCACCCTTGAGTTTAGCCTATTATCATTTCATGCAGTTTACAATTAAAGCCTTAGATAAGATTAATTGCTTTCAAGGTGAGCCTTTACTACTGTCTTCTTAGAATGGAGTCTGGATCCGGTGGAGCATGGCTTTATGTCACTGGAAGAAATCACAAACAATTCTGCAGTTGGATTGAAAGGATTTGTTTAACAGGCCTTGTGTTTCTTCTCTTAAATTTCTCTTGAGAGAAAAATAACTCCCTAGCAAAAAGCATAACCAGCACAAATAGTGAAACTGGTTAAGAATTACCTACCACTGGTTTTACTTTTAGTTGCTCCAAGTATAAATATTCTAGGCACCCTGACCTTCTTCTGAAGATGAAATGCAGCAGTACTCCAAAAGAAAGCAGATGTAAGTGCTGGATGGAGTGACTGGATTCCAGCACCTATTTCTGACAGCTCTTTTCCATACAAAAAGCTGAGAGAAGGGAGAGGACAGAGGACGGGACACTAAATTCCACCACAAAACACAGCTGCTTATTTATCTATTTGTCATTCTGCTGCAGTTGAGTGTTATACCCAGATGAAAGAAACCAGCTGGGTGCAACAAAAGCACTGGGCACTCTGCTGATGGAGGCACTGCACGGCAAATCCCAGCTTGCTACAAGGAATGGGTACAATCAGAGTTGTGTGGGATGGAGGAGATGCCACTGTGGCTCCTGCTAAAGTGATAATGGTGAAAGAATTGAGCAGGCTCTCTGGTCTGCTTCTATCTGTACACCTCAACCACAGCTTTGAGCAGAACGGATGAGTAGTATGGTTGTGCCTGGCCTTACAATGTGTGGGCCAGGAAGCATTAACTTCAGAGGTAAGTGCTAATTTTTCCCACGTGGGAAAATCACCCCTGTTTTGAGGCTTCCTACTGCCTACATTTTTCAGTCCTGTCAACTAGAAGCCTGTGCTTTTGCTATTCACTCTTAAGGATCTTAGATATTGCTCTGATTCTCAAGAAGATGGGCTTTCTGCAATACACCCTATATCACGAGATTGCGGTAGAAGTTTTGTTTAAACTACTAAATTGTAATACAGAAAAGTACACGAGTTGGGGGGAAAGTGTGCACCTCCCTCTCTGTCCTTTCCCATTCTGTGATGAGCTCTTTCCCCTTTCTGCAATGAACTCTGCTTCCTAGTTACAAGATCACTAAGCAGTTATCTTCTCTTTGCTGAAGTATCAGCAAACCCTCCTCCACAACACTGAAAATGTTTTGAATTATAAAATGAAGGGTGAGGTTTTCCAAGCGTGAGTGGGGGAGCAGAATGACTTGTCCCTAACACAATGAGAAAGGACAGGATCTCTACTTCATCAGGCAGCCCTCCTTGGGATAGCATAGCTGGGACCCTTCAGACTGTCATGCATTGGGCAGCATAGGACATCAGCTGTGGGTGCTGCTGTGCATGGTTAATGAAGGATCTGTTTCAGTGACACAGAACTCCCAAGCTGCTCAACTGTGGGCATCTGACTGCAGCTTCTTCAGATCCCACAAGTCATCCCTTCAGTTCACAGCTCTACCTGACAAGCAGCTGCAGGGCTGATAGGATTCCGTGAGGCATTGTCAGCACTGTTTTACTGCAGATTTGATTACACATCGAGCACTCACCTCGTGTAGGCTCCCCATGGCAGGAGGTGTTTGCCTCCTGGATGAGGGCTGGCGCAGCGCTGTACCATGCAGACTGGTATAGCTGAGTAAGTGGTTTGGTGTAATCCAGATCAGGATTCCTGGGAAAGCTCTCTGCTTTGTACCAAGCTTCTAGATGACTTTCAGTCAGCCATCAACCCATCCCACCATGCCACCCAAACCATTTCCCTCAGTGCCAAATCTCTACTTTTCGTGCACACCCCTGGGGATG